AGGGACAACCTGAATATAAAAAGACTGTGTTGGAAAGAATAAAGACACCATAATTGATAAAGAAATAATGTTTTACGAAATTTGATATTTTGAAAGATATCAGAAAAATGCGACATATGGCGCCAATTTATAATCTTGTCTAATAGTACGTATATCACACGTTGTGACTTTGTGTCGCTACAAAACAACATTTACATTTTTCAGAATATTTGTATCAAATGCAAGTTGAGTTTCTTACATTTCAATATATCCGACATTGACTACTTACCTTGTCGACCAACGTTCTTCATACCTCTGACAATTTCAGCAAAATGGCAATTCTAGAACCTATCCTATGTTGAAACAAATAAATGTCTGTTCTGTAAATTTGATAAATCGAGTCCTTGGAGTTTTAAAGCAACAGCTATCATTGCACACCAGACTATGGCTTGTAGAACTTATTGCTTTTTAAGTTTATTATTGCGAACTGATACCCTATATTACACAACAAAAAGAGGATATGTGCGTGAATTTCCCCGCCTCTTTATGGTATTGTCAATTGATTTTCACAAATAGAAGAATTATCAACAATTATTTTGTACTCGTATATTTTACTAAAACTGTCATTTACATTTTCATAACATGTAACAATAGTCTCCGTTTCACAAAATGAAATATATAATAGAATATATAATTATAGATACTTTTGGTTCGTGCCGGATAAGGAGTAAGATAATTTTAACTTAGTAATCAGATACATGTATACCAAAGCTTGTTTTATAATACATGTACAGGATTTAAATATTTATTTCTTTTTAATTACTGTTTACTAGCACAGGCATACTTGTTTCTAAAACAAATCCATTAAGTAATTCTAAAATTAAAAATAAAAACTAAATTTTAATGAGCCAAAAACAAAGTTTAAGAAATATTATACTAATTGATAATCTCAACCAAAGACTTAATCTGTACTAACTGAGATACGTATAACGCTTAACATCATTTCGCATAAAATAGCCGCGTCACTGGTTACAGTTATCTCTTGAATTACTTCTTAAAATGTTTAACAGGATTTGGATACCTGGTGAAATTCCCAACAGTTGGATTCAATTCCTAAGCATGAAAAGGATTGGACTGATCTTGAAAAATTGCCAATTAAATTTACATACAAACGGGCGTATAGGAAAAACATTTAAAAAAAGGTACATCATCGCCTTGATAAGTATATAGCATATTATGGAATGATTTCGTTTAGTCAGGTTTTCCGTTAACAAAAGTAGTACATATGTGTGATACAATTACGGCTTGGTCCTCCTTTTTCTGAGAGCCATTAACAAGAACAATTTGTGCTTCGGAGTAGTATACGAACAATTGAACGTTATAAATACAAGGAAATAGAAAAAGCAGATTGTTCGGCTCAGGAATCCTTACATTCTCAACTAGTTTGTTTACCTTACCAAAACGTGATTTTTAAACTTCAAATATTTAACTTATTTCATTTAACAAACTTTATGTTATCAACCCTTGTCTTGATTAATCATGTACTCGTCGATGTTAATCTTAGATGTAGAATTAGACAATCAAGTGTAACACAGTGTTACCTGTCAACAAGAGAGATGCTCCATTTTGTATAGTTTGCAGTAAATATATACTGCTATATACTTCCTTCTTGAATGTCACGATGTTGCACATGTTCATGATATATTTTATCGAGTCACTCAGGGATTTTTTTGCTTTAGTTCAATCTTAAACCCTAACGGAAGTAAACTTGTTTTCTAAAATTCAACTAATGCACTTGTACCAACTCCTTTAAGGCTTACTTATTATAGTGTTCGGTGCGGTATGACAAGTAACGTGTCAATGTCGCCGTAAAACCCAAACAAACAAGCATCATAATCCAACATTATATTAATTCGAATACTCGTATATTACCATCTTCCATTCAGGCTTCCTTCGTAAAAAAGAACTTCGTACTAAATAAAATGATGTATGATATCACTGTTCCGTACTTTTCTAAATTGTAAAAACAACACTAATATATCACTTATATGAACGACCAAATAGAAGCTAGGTTTGATTTAGCTTCTTCGTCGTCTGTGCGGTAAAAGTAAACCAATATATTTGATATATTAATATTATTTTCTATCTAGCCGTTTTAAAGGTTTTTTTTCTTTTATAGGAATAATGGCACACCATTCGAAGTGTTCTGTTTCGTTAAATAACGATAGCGACAATTCATCTCGTAAGATTTCAACATTTGATTTACAAAGCTGAAGGATTAAAAACTATATTATGGGCAGCAATATTTTTTTTTTTTCGTTCTTCCTATTTATCTCAAGTTAAAAATGAAAAAAAAAGAGAAAAAAAATTAAATGGCACATCATAATTTATTATACATTTATTCTTAGCATATCTTTACATTGAGCATTATCTTAATATTAAAAATAAGAAAAAATACATTTTTAGTACATATAACATTTTTGAGTTTTTAGAAAAGAAATGAAAAGAAAAATATTTTTAAAAAATAAAGTCAGCAAAACGACTTGATAACAAATTTATTATAGACTTTCAAATGAAATATTGAGAAATATTGATGAAATAAAATGTGTATTTTCATTTTCCGTATTTTCACTGTAAAAATTTATTTTTCACTGCAGTGAAACATATTTTCCGTATTTTCACTGGTGTCTTGCCGAACTACTTTCTTTTAAATTCTGCCAGTACTTAAAATTTAAGGGAAAGTCTTTCAATTTTAATGTCCAGAAAGAGAAAAATGTATATAATAAACAGAAAATTCAAGTTTTTTCTATAAATACATGATTTATTTTCATCTTGTGGCATGAAAATTACCATATTTCACTCGTGGCTACCGCCACTCATGAAATATTTATTTTCATACCACTCGATGAAAATAAATCATGTATTTATAGAAAAAACTTGAATATCCTCTATATATTACAAGCTGTTGTATAATTATTTCATACGAAAAACATAAGTAGTATAGAGAGCAATATGACATAGATTTTACCGTAAATGTGATAAACGTTGTTATTTCTGCAATAAAATATCAAAATAAAAAAAAAATAAAATAAAATAAAAACATGTTTTTATCCTGTATATTGTTATAGACAAGGTATGCAACATCCAAGTACGAAAATTATGGGTATGTCTGTTCTCGGTGACAAAATTTTCCACCCGGTGGTAATATTGTCGGATTTTTGCATGTAATCATTGCAGTATATATTTTTCTATCATAACTGACTAGATCCATATTTACACGTAAATTACCGCAGTAAAGCCCGAAAGTAAGAATTCACCCAGGTCCGAAAGATGAGACCGTCATTTCATGTACATTGTAGCCTGGCCCCGTGTTCACAAAGATTTAAGGATCAGGATCAAGATCAGGATCAAATTTAAAAACTCGAATATTCTCCATTATTTATTCTCTTAGATTGAATTTTCAGTATTAACCTGATAAAACTGGACTTGAAATAGCACGTTTATGAAATTTTAGAATGAATTTATTGTTTTTTTACAAGAAATAAGTATTTTACAGTTGATCCAAATTTTGATCTTGATCCTAAAATTTATCCTCATTTTGATCCGTTTATTTTTGTCCGTTTATTTTTGCATTTGTTCTCTTATTTGTTGATTTGATCCCATAATTGGATGGTTTCTTTGCAAATAAGCAATTATATATATTTTGAATACGTTCCATTTGATTCTAGCATAATACGGTCAGTTTTAGTTTTATAAAACAATGAAAATAAAATCAGGATCAACTGATCCTGATCCTGATATTTTCTTTGTGAACACTGGAGTTTACGCTTAGAAAAGCATCAACATAAAGATCAAACGGGTCGAACACGCATGCAAACAACTGGATTTTACATACAATTTGATGGTTTTATGCTCCACGAGTCGAACTTTGTCCTATGTGCCTGTATTTAAAGAAATATTCTACATGTAGACGATATTTTGAGAAGGTAATTCCTATCGAAATTACTCTCCGGCTTCCGTTTCACATTCATTGACATAGAGCGGAAAAGGGGAACCACGCACGTGTTGCTGAGAACACTTCTGATTTAGGAATTACCGTCTACATGTAGAATGTTTATTTAAAAATACAGGCACATAGGAGTAAGTGCTACTTGTGGAGGATAAAACCATTTAAATTATTAAAATCCAGTTGTTTGCATGTGTGGTCGACTCATTTGATATTTTTGTGTTAGGCGCGGTTTAGGCCATTTATGTGTCAATGTGCCGTTAAACCCCAAATAAACAAATATTTTTCGATTTGGTCTTATTTAGGGCATTAATCATGAATATAATTGAATCAACTGTTTGCTACATACCTCTCATCATTGTGAATTATTGTTTAATTTTGGACTTCAAAATCTAACCAGAATTTGTAACGGAGTTAACAACGTCCCCCGCATATAGGAAATTTTACATAAAGCACGATATTGTGGATCTGGGTGTCGTTTTATCAACGGTCGTACGCCCGGTCGTAGCTAAGATTTGGTCGTACGACCGAATTTACGGCTACGTCGCGTTTTATCAACATGGTCGTAGCTAAGACGTCGTAGATTAACGTCGTAACTTTAAGGCTGCTTCAGACCAGTCGTAAGTAGGCTTAAGATCTTAAAAAATGGCGGCAATTTTTGCATAATCCGATAGGAACTTTCAAACACAAATATTTGAACAATTGAAGTTTTCAACTAACGTAGGTTTTCCGCGTACATGTTTATGTACAGTGCTGATTCTATTTAACATCCAAGGGACACAACTATCACTTCCAGATTAATCTCCGGATAATTTCCACGAAGAAGCTATGGCTAGTTATATAACTTTAATTTAAGTACAACCGACGTTTATATATGTGTTTAATATATACTCCTGTCACATCTGTAGCTAGATTAGCAAATTATTCTTACAATTTTCTATACCGTTTCCTACTTTTCTTTTCGAAATATTTTAGTACAGAATTTTCGGACAGTGCAGATTTCGGACAGAATATAGATCTAACAATTGTCAATAACAATTGTGTTAATTGTCAAGCTATTAAACCAATTTGATTGTTATAATTAGTTAAGTATGTTCTTTTGTAGACCTTTCAATGAAGTTGCTACAGTATCTATGTGAAAGACAAGTGTAAATAATGTGAAATCAACATGGCAACATTATGTTAACCTACAGTACAGTGCTGTTATGGAATGCAAATGAAACTGCAGCACTATTGTTTGGTAAAGCATGTACATGTTTGCGAAATGAGCATCTTTAGATCCAATTTGGTGTATCACATGAAAAGAGGATTGTAAACAAAGGACAAGTAACTTGTGCAGACAGGTGAGTTTGAAATATAGACAGTTTTAGAGTTCACTTCACCCCTCTTTAGAACTATGAAATCTGATTAAAGCACTACACCTCCCTTTTTGTTTTATTATGTGCTTTACACAAATTAAGGTGGAACATGTGAAATGCAATCAATTATGGTGATTAAAATATTCATTGTTTTAACACATTTCTTGTTATATAATAAGTATGGACCAAATCAAAATAGAGATTTACTTTTCCCCTAATATATTACATGTGTATTAATGATAATCAATTGAGTTCATTATATGTTTTTCTAAAATATAATTATCACATTAAAACTTCAAAATAAGTTTGACTATTTAAAATAACTTACTTTGTATTAGTCATTTGAAGTGGGTGACCTACTACATTTGTATCTTAGATATGAGATATATCTTACACCCCTCATTTGTTGGGAAATACATGTATGTCCCAGATTGACAGTACATTGATAGTTATGTTGAAAATCACACATAATATTTTTTATCAACAATTATATAGTATAGTTTTTCTTTATTTTTGTGTCACATTGATACTTTAAATTGTCTTTCATGTAATGTTTCAGAAAATGGTAATAATATTGAAGTTCCATGTTGCAAGTTAACTTGTCAGGGTTAAAAATATTGAAAATTGCCTAGAGTTAAACATTTTACAAAAAAAATACTAAAAGAAGAAAATTAACAGACAAAAGGTTTATTTGTTATTGAAAATTTTATTCTAGAAATAATCAGGGATGATGGTTGAAGTGTCTTACTGATTTTGGGGTGTGAAGTGTCTTCAGAGGTTAAGTGTCTTGTTTACACATTTAAACAAATACTATTGTATTATATATTGTGTAGTAATGTTAGATTTGTGGGAATCATTATAAGATTTACTCATAGGTTTGTTTAAGTTTATGTAGATATTATCCTAGTAGGCTTCTTTTCAGGTATTACTTGATTTTTGTTTACACATGTACATGTTATATAGAGTCTATAAAATTGTAGCTGAATTTTTATCTGATTTTCCTTACAGATATAAGGCAGCATGAATAGTTAGTACTTGGTGCATCTGCTGATCAATGTGTTTGTCAAAGAGGACATTAACAATGATGAGGCTGTATATCACCAGGGTCAGTAGTGACAAACTTATTTTAGAAACAGTACTATAAAAGTAAAATGACCTTACACTGTCAGGGAACTGAATATAAAAAAATTTCAACAGTGAGAACTTCTTTAACAGCTCAATGACTGTGACTGGCAAATTCACATATTTCAAAGACATACATAATTATTGAATAAAAACTATTCACATTTAGTTTATAAGGATTTCATTTGAATTATACATTTTCATATTTATCTGTTTATGACATTTCATATGAGATAGTTTGTAAAAAAATATTGTATCAAATTACAATGTTAATTATTTGATTTTAAGTCAGATTATTCTCTGTGATGTTTCAGATTACTGCTGAATGATGGAAGGTTTACAGCTAAACAATCTTATGATTGGAATCAATATCCAGGGACAGCTCCCCTTACAGGGTCCAAGTGTTGTGACCTTGTTATATGTTGGGATGAATATTAAAAACACAAAGAAAATAACACAAAAGGGACACTGATTGAAATAAACAATTGTAATACAGAATTCCCTGAAAGTGACATTTTATCTTTAATGTGCTAAGTTTATAATCATCTTTGTCTTAACTGCTCTTGTCTGAATAGTACCCTGTGTCTGTTAAAACATATTATTTTTCAAGATTGTTTTCTAGTAGATATATAAATAAATTCTCAATAGGTATCATAAAAAAAATAATATGAATTAGAAAAAGTTGTAACATTTCATTTCAATGTCATAATTTACTGTCCTATATTTATTTATTGTCATACTGGAATGATAATAAATGACTTTGTAACATTCCAACACTTTCTGTTCTGTAGCCAGCCATACTAGGACCCTGCCTATTACCGGACAAAATATGTTTTTTCGCCGTATTTTTCTTTTAAATAATAAAAAAGAATGGAATTTTACCCAAATAATTTTGGGTTTTTATAACACGTAAACATTACTTAATCGGACATAAAATTAAAAATTTGACCGTAGAAATGTGTCTTTAAAGTAGGGCATTATAAGAGAAAAAATCGTGTAGACAGCTCAATTTACCGCGGACATTGTGTTTCAAAATATTTTGAAGTCGTGAATTTAAATTTGTCTGTAAATAATCAGCATGGAAACTACGACAAGGTTAAGATATTTGAAGAACCCAGGCAGTCATGTTTGTTACGAAGAGGCCAATGTTTGGGGTGTAACTGAAGTTAACACTATTAACTCAATTACATGTAACGTATTAAGTCTTCATGATCCTTAAATGTATGAAACACTTTGATATTCAAATGGAATTCTGTTCTTTGTTATAAAGTTCCCTTTTGGTCATCATGTAGCATGTTACAAAAGCCATAAAATCTATTTTTATTTACATTTCATGTAGAGTATCCTTCCATGGGCGTAACCCGTTTCCTTATATGTTTTTTAATTTGCATTTCTTTGAAAAGACAACGACATAATGTTGGAATAAATTTAAAATTACTTTTTATCATAAAAATCTGTTACGATTGTCTCCTGAGATAACGTTGAGAAGAATTAAAAGTGAAATTTATCTAAAATAACCATTAAGGGCCTCAATATTCGGGCATGCGCAGAACAGATTATTCCCCGCATGACTAGGCCATGAAATTACTAGTAAACACAAAAGGGCATGGTAGTAAATAAAAAACTGAATCAACAATATTTACCTGAGAGTGGTTTTGTTGTTATTTACTTTGAAATAGAAATAGTGTGTACGATTCAGACCGGATGATTTTTTAATCGAAGCAAAAAATAAAGAACTACTCGGCAGAAATAGATTTTGTCCGGTAAACCGATTGTCCAGTAAATATGAAGGAGCCCAGTATTGTTTTCAACTTTCCCTTAATCTTAGCTGAAACTGCTAAGAAAGACTCTTCTAATGTTTGCAGATATTGTTTAGCATTTTACCTCAGAGTACTGTACATTTTTTTTAATTCAAGCTGTGCCACCTGTAAAATATTCAATGTCATGAATGCACAGACAGATTGAACTTTGGTGGGTCTGGATCCACGATCCTTGAGAATTGTCACAAATATGTACACTAAATGTTTTAAAATCAGTATTGATATTCAAATGATGTATTATATACAGCAAAAAAACAACAATCTTAACTGAAACAGAAAAAAAACCACTGCAATATAAGATTTTAGTAGTAGGGCAATCAATTGTAGAACCTCATGTAGTGAAGCAGAAGATGCGCCAGAGGTACATACATAGCTGTATATTTCGTACAATGACAGAAGCTTGTCCATAAATATAAGGACATCTAGGAATCTAGCGATTTACTTAGGAGCGGATCTGTGGCCTGGTGGTTAATACATATATAAAATCCAGGGGTCTTGAGTTCGATCCCAGCTCCTCCCTAACATTACCAACAGTCTTTCGGATTGGACTTTAAACCAAGGTCCCGTGTATCGGTGCTTTACACCGGGCACATACAAGATTCAGGTATGCTTCTGAAATAGGTCATCTTCTGTACTTCCTGCACTATCTTCACAAATCTAATTACGAATGTATTCAAGCATCAACAGCGCTTTGTTCCAAGTAAAACAAATCTAGCTATGTTTGGAAACCTTTTGTTTTCAGGTCTTTTTACGGTTGACAGGAAAAAATGATGAAATAAAACGTTCTTTGACTTTTATTTAGAAAAATTCTTTCCATCTCGGGTAAGGGATTTAAGGATATTTTACATAAATCATTTTGGGGGTTTAACCTTTTTAAGGGTATCGAAAGGCGCTAAAAATTTTTTTTTTTAATAATTGGGCTAACGCAGGGGCATATAAAAAATTTTTACATTGTTTTGTTTCGAAATATTGAGCCGCGTACACAAAACAAAATATTGGGTTTGCGACCCGCGGATCCGAACCCGCTTGGGTCGCGCAATCTTTTAGGGGTTAGCTATTTTCTATCATTTCTTTACGGGTTAAGGGTCTGTAAGCGAACAGCAATCGTGATCAATTTCCGGATGCGCTGTGGTCTGGATCCATGCTGGTCGCAAACACAATACGTTGGTTTTGTCGTAACGCAGCTCATATAATGTCCTCTTTTTTGATGCATCTCTATATTTTGATCCGCAAATAAGTATCTATTTGTTTTTATCAACTTGAAGGATTTACCGTTTTTTTATTAAATAAAGATCAATATACAATGTATCCCATGTAAAAAAAATTTTAAATCTTCTATTAGAAAAAAATTATAATGGCATTCTAACTCAAAAAGACTTATTGTTTTTTTGTACATTGTTGAGTTAATTTGGAGACAAAACGTATTCTTTTTGCTCATTCCCCATGCTTCTACTTATGCCATGACAGGTGCGCGGGAAATCACGTGACCCGGAAACGTACTTTCGACTGTATGGTAACTGTTTATACGGTCGTACGACCGAAAATGGTCTTAGCTGCGACTGAGGGCGTACGACCGTGTTCATAAAACGGTCATGTGGAAATCGTAAGCTCGGTCGTAAGTTTCGGTCGTAAGATAAGATCGCAGTTACGACCGTCTTTGTTGATAAAACGGCACCCTGGACTTTCAGGGCAAAATTTTGATCAATGCAAGATCTGCACATACAAGTAACAATAAGTTAATTAAAGAAATATAGTGAAATAACTTCTGTGTATGTGTTTACAGAAATATATATGTATAAATGTACTTGTATTCACTATTTCAAAGCCACAAAATGTTACAAATAAAAATCAATATAGTATATGAAAATCCTTTTATCGCTAAGAAAGTTATGAACCGGACACTACATATACCAAATAGACATTGTTGACCTTCACTCACCAAGTGTGACCTTGACCTTGGAGGTAGGGATCTGGGGTGCGCATGACACGTCGTCTTTATTATGACAAACATTTATGTCAAGAAATTTTAAATTCCTTTGATAAATGACATAGTAATTGACCGGACACGAAAATGTGACGGACAAACGGACCAACAGTCGGACTATAGCCCCCGTTTTTCTTCAAAAGGCAGGGGACAATAATGATGAAGGGTAATTTTAGATAATTGTTCAAGAATAAAATTTATGTCGTACCAATATGTTTGTGTTTGTGCATCAAAAGGGTTTTATTACATCATTACGGTCATTTTAAAAACTTGCTTCTGTAAAAATCATTGCTTCATACAGCTTACATTTGTAACTTATCAATTTATGCAAGAACATAAATATCAATTATCATCGTTGATATATTATCATTAATAAATGCAACATAACTTGATCAAATTATAAAATATTCGACCAAACAATAATAGACACTAATCAAATGTTACTTTATTTACGTTCAAATAACAGAGAAACGTTTCATCAATATTGGCTATATCTTAAACTATAGGCCTTTTAAACGGTTTGATATGGTGGTTGATTTGTGCCATTTTTTTTTCGACCCGCGACCCCGCCAAGCGAAAAGTCGAAAATTAACAAGTTAAAATAGCGGGGACGCGGGACGAAAACATGATAATTAGCGAGGGCGCGGGGCAAAGTGCGGAGCGAGATTTAAGAAATAAAACGGCGGAGTCGCGGGACAAAAACACGCTTATAAGCGAGGGCCCGGGGCGAAGTTTAATACATTTGACGTAGAGTAGTATGCCATATGGCGACGTTCAAATTTTACTCGTGGTTAAATGGCTTAAAACGGTATTATAGGCAGACAGCATAAAACATGAAAAACGGCAAACACGGTATCTTTGAATTGATGTATTGATACCATTGTTATATCAAACATACATTTGCGTAACATTTAAGATATTAAAAAATAATCATAAAAGTCTAAAGTAAAGAACTCAGTTTGTTTATTTTTAAATATATCTATCTCACGTATCTCCTCTCAAAGGAACTTTCAGACCAAACATTCATAAGAGCGCGAGTCAAATTTTCATATTAAACTAACTGCAGTCTACTTGTATGATAAAACAAACTTTAGTTACTCGTATTCTTTGTATATGAACTATGTCACATGATTTGTTTATAAAGGCGTGAATGAGACTGCATAATATCTAGAATTGCTTTTGACAGTATTTTTCATTCTAATAGATTAATTTTTTCAAAATATACACATAAATATAAAAAAGCATTATAGTGTACTATTTGGAACAATAATAAAATAAATAAAGCAACAACAGAAATGGAAAGAATGCACATGCAATTATTGCAGCCACAACAAAGGATTGGATAAGTATCACATAAGTTCATATAAAAATAATATGAAAGCAAGGGAAAACAAATATAAAAACTGAAAAATTGTATGTACTCTCTCTATAACGCAGATACATATCGTAAATGTAAATAATGGATTGTTAGAAGAATTAAATAGAAATACAGAAAAGAAACAAGCAAACAAAAAAGCACTATATTGAAACATTATATAGAACATACGTTGGGTTTGATCTACCTGCATGTTTCAATGAAAGTAGTATGTTTTCTAAACAAAGTTTAAGTACATAAAATGAAATTATTAAGGTAATAAGCGTGCTGAAAGTATCGTATACTCCATGGTTTGATTGACATTAAAAAGATGTACCACTGATTCATATCACAGAAAAATACCATATATATTCAAAATGCTTGCAAATATGATCAAAAGGTTTTAATATTCAAGTATATATTCGTACAGTTAAACAGTTAAAATAAACGATCATGTGAATGGTTGAAGACGACAAAAGTAACAATTTAATATCACGAATTATGTAAACCTGCTAATATCACTTAATTACAGCCAGTAACATAACGGAACGTTTCAGGACAGGAGGAAGAATTGATTTTACTTAAGTGTTAATTTATCACGTTTCTTAATAAGAAATGGTATTCTATAATAATTTCACAACAGACTTTCTACCCTCGTATTACAAATAATTATGATTACAAGTGTCATCTTGGTCAGGGAGGAATAGTTCTCTGGCAAATATTATCAATAAATTTAAAAGATGCGTCGTAAAGTTATTTTTGTAAATTCAAATGACGTCAAAATGTGGGTTTTCTCAAATTTGTTTCATATAACAAAACAATTTAAATTTCCCATGGTAGTCATTTATTGTCTAAAATAATTTAATGACACGAATTTCAGTTTACAGGAAAAATTACATGTCCAGAGTGTAAAAAAACATTTTTAACATACTGCGGGTTGAAAAAAAAACAAAGAAA